AGGTCAAAGGGCAGGGCGAGGGGTCAGAGGTAAAAGGGCAGGGCGAGGGGGTCGGGGTCAAAGGGCAGGGAGGGGTCAGAGGTTAAAGGCAGGGAGAGGGGATCACCACGAGGGTGCTCAGAGGCTAAAGGGTGGTGTGAGGGGGTCAGGGGTCAAAGGTCAGTGCAAGGGGGTCAGAGGGTTAAACGGTACAGTGAGGAGGTCAGATATTAAGGGGGAGAGGGGTCAAAGGTCAGGGGAGCACCCCAAAGGTAAGAGGTCAGGGGTCAAATGTCAGTGCAAGGGGGGGCCAGAAGGTTAAAGGTTACAGCAAGTGGGTCAGATATAAATGGGAGAGGGGTCAGAGGTCAAAGGGTAGAGTGAGGGGGTCAGAGGTTAAAGGGCAGGGAGAGGGGGTCAGGGCAAGGGTGTTCAGAGGCTAAAGGTGGTGTGAGGGGGGCCAGAGGGCTGGGGGAGGGGACCGGGGGTAAGAGGGCGGGGGGGGGGTCAGGGCTTAAAGGGTACATTGAGGATGTCAGATATTAATGGGAGAGGGGTCAAAGGTTAACAGGGTGGGTGTGGGGGTCAGAGGGTAACTTGCAGATAGGATGGGTCAAAGTCAGAGGTGGGGGCAGAGGGTAAAGGTCAGGAGGCAGATTCCCCATGTCCAACCCTCAGCTTCGGGGACCCCAGATTTAACCCCCCCTCCTGCCAGAGCAGAAAGGTTCCCCCCAGATCTTTCACAGCTCCACAGGAACCAATGCCCTGATCCCCTCCACTGAGAGCCTGGACTCCTGGGTTCTCTCCCTGGCTCTGGGAGGGGAGTGGGGGTTGGTTGGTGGGCGGGAGCTGGGAGCCAGGACTCCTGGGTTCTAACTTTCTTTCCTCCCACGTAGGCGCCAAGATGCACAAAGTGGACCTACTGCTGGAGACCAAGGAGGCGGCTGCCCGCGAGGCGCGGAGGGAGCGAGAGAAGCAGCGGCTGAGCCGCATCTTCAACTCACGCCACCGCACCATGGGGGTGAGCCCCGCGGGGACCCGCTGCGTCCCCCAGGGGGTGCAATGCTGGGAGAGGGGCTGGATCTGAGCCCTCCCCCCAACCGGAGCCCAGAGCAGGAGCAACGGCTGACCGGCAGGGAGGGCTCTCACCTACACAGCTCCCGTGTGCTACCCCCTCCAAGGGGCATTTGGTGCCCATCACCTGCTCAGTGCTTGGCCTCACCCATCTGGGTATCAGGGAGCCCTGACAAAGTTGGGCACCATCTGCTGTGGAACAAGCTGAGACCCAGCACCTAATTTCACTCAGAGGCCACCTAGCGGACACCAGACAGGAGTGAATGGTTTTTAGATCAATGGTTCTCACACTCTTGTACTGGGGACCCCTTTCACACAGCAAGCCTCTGAGTGCGACCCCCACCCCCATAAATATATTAAAAAAGTGTTTTTAATGTAACACCATTATAAATGCTGGCAGCAAAGTAGGGTTTGGGGTGGAGGTTGTCAGCTCACGACCGCCCCATGTAATCACCTCACAACCCCTTGAGGGGTCCCGACCCCGAGTTTGAGAACCCCTGGTTTAGATTGCAAGCCTGGGTTCTGTCCCCGGCACTGGGAGGGGAGTTGGGTCTGGTGGTTAGAGCGGGGACTGGGAGCCAGGACTCCAGGGTTTTCTCCCTGGCTCTGGGAGGGGAGCGGGGTCTAGTGATTCGATGGGCGAGCTGGGGAGTCAGGACTCCTGGATTCTTTCCGCAACTCTGGGAGGATTTTTGCCTCCTCAGTAGCTCTCCCCTGCCCTTCTCCCCAAGGTGGACATGGAAGCCCTGAGGAGTCAAGTGGAGGAGTGGAAGCTGAGAGTGGAAACGGAGAAACGCCGGGATGAGACCTATGGTGAGAACACTGGACAGTCCTGCCTCGCCCACCCCTTTGATCTCTGGGGGAGGTGCCCCTGAACCCCAGCATCAGAAAACAATGCGTGGGGAGGAGTAGGCGAGTGAGCTGGCAGGACAGTGGGGGTCCTCTGTCTCTGACCAAGATGAGGACTGGCTGTGGCAGGGAAATCCCAGCTATTCCAGCCCTGGTCTCTCCAGCAGGGGGCGCCATGGGGGTTGGGGCAGGAGAACGGGCTCAAGATGGGGGGAGATGCCCACTACTCCAGCCCTGGCCTCTCTAGCAGGGGGTGCTATGGGGAGTGAGACAGGAGCACTGGCTGCTGGGAGGGGCTCCTTGCTACTCCAGCCCTGGTCTCTCCAGGAAGGGGCCCTGTGGGGAGCTGGGCAGGAGCGCTGGCTGGTGAGGGAAGAGGGGATCTGACCCTCTTTCCCCACAGATGCCGAGCAGGTGCTGTGCGACCGGGTGGCACAGATGCTGGAGGAGGAGGAACGTCAGAGGGTGCGGCGCCTCCACCAGGCCGTGCAGGAGTTCCGGGAGCAGGAGCAGCCACCCCACACCCGGCGGGAGTGGGACCTGTACAACCCCGAGGGGCTGCGCCTGGACCGGCCAGCCCGGCTCAGCGACTATGACCCACGCTGCGGTCCTGCCAGCCTGCAGCGCTTCGCCGGCGAGGACCTGGCGCTGCCCACCCGCCGTCGGCTGCAGCAGTGCCGCAGCCTAGAGGACCAGCGCGCCGAGCGGCAGCGGGCCCGAGCCGACGCCCAGTATGCAGGTGGGAGCATGAGCACAGATCTAGTGGTTAGAGCAGGGGGAGTGCAGTAGCTGGGACCCAGAACTCCTGGGTTCTGTGGGAGAAAAGTGGAGTCTAGTGATTTAGAGCAGGAGGAGGGGGCTGGGAGGCAGGACTCCTGAGTTCCTTCCCTTCACCCGTCTGGGAGAGGAGGGTGGTCTCATGGTTAGTGCAGAGAAAGCTGGGAGTCAGGACTCCTGGGTTCTACGGAAGGACAGTGGGGTCTAGTGCTGATTAGAGTGGGGGGAGCTGGGAGTCAGGACTCCTGGGTTCTACGGAAGGACAGTGGAGTCCAGTGCTGGTTAGAGTGGGGGGAGCGGGGTCGAGTGCGTTAGATCAGGAGGGAGGAAGGACTCCTGGGTTCCCAAAGTAAAGCCACTCAGAGGCTCTGTGCACTGTCCTGGCAGACACGCTGGAGGATAAAAAGCGGGTGGAGCTGGATCTGCGGGCACAGCAGCTGGCCCAGCTGGAGGAGGAGTGCCGCCGGGCCAAGGATCTTGCCACGGCCGACTACAACCGGGCCCAGGTAACTCCCTGGCCACCAGACGGGGACCAGGGGGGTAGGGGCTGTGGAGCCGGCAGACCTTGGCATGGGTTGGACAATAGGGCTGGCTCCTCCGCCCTAGGGGATTTGTAGGATACCAGGTCTCACCTGCTCCCTTGCCCTGGTGGGATGTCAAGGCAAGACCACTCTGGGGCTGAGGGGGTCCCCACACCTGGGGCTCAGGGGCAGGTCTCCTCTCTCCCCCCAGGCAGCGGAGGCGGCGGAGCAGCACCGGCTGGCGTGTCAGCGGGAACAGGAAGACAACCAAGCCGAGATCCACAACCACCTGACAGGGCAGCTGCTGACAGAGGATCCAGCCATGGCCGAGAGCCTGCTGGGGCCTCACCGCATCATCACCGACCGCTGGAAGGGCATGAGCCCGAAGCAAGTGGAGGCCGTGTGGAAGGCCCAGGAGGAGCAACGCCGGGAGAACCAGGTCTCCAGAGGAAGGGAAGGGAGGGATTCCAGCAGTGGGGAACGTGGGGAGCGCAGCCCAGTGCGAAATGGGGCACCGTTCCCCCCCTTCACCTGCCCCTCTCTCTGCCCCACCGCAGAGGCTGCGGGAGGCGGAGCGGCAGCGGGAGGCTGAGTGGGAGGCGCAGCGGCAGCTGGCAGCCCGCGCGGCCATGGCGCTGGAGGAGAAGGAGCGCTTGTCCCGGCTACAGCTGAGGAAAGGCCTGGATGCCTACAACCAGCAGCTGGCACAGGAGCAGAGGGCACAGTGAGTGCCCCCCCTAGGGTGGGGATGGGCCCTGGGGGGCTGGGCTAGGGATCCCTGAGGAGCAGGGCAGGAGTGGGTGCAGGAAGAGGTGGGGCTACATGAGGTGCGGAAGCAGGAGGGGGAGAGATGGGGCAGGGGCAGAAGTTGAAGGGGCAGGGCTGGGGCTATATGGAGGCGGGACTAGGAGGTACAGATTACCGAAGGGGTGGGGCCAGGTGAGTTAGGCTGGCGGCTAAGCCCCGCCCTTTGTCTTGCAGGCAGCAGTACCTGCAGAGGGAGGTGTACACCAATCCGCCCAGCGCCCAGTACCACCTGCAGTTCAACACCAGCAGCCGCTAGGCCCAGCCCCGCCGCACCAACTTCGAAAACCCCATGGACCACCCCCGCCCCAAAGGGACACGCCCCATTCCCTGCCCCACCGAGATATACCCAATCCCCACCCCCTGCCCCAATCACTACCCCCACCCTGCTGGAACATTCCCAATCCCCAGTTCCCTACCCCACGGGACACGCCTAATCCCAGCCCCCTTCCACACCGGGATACCCCCAATCCCAGCCCCCTGCCCCAATCACTATCCCCACCCTTCTGGCACATGCCCAGTCCCCACCCCCTCCCAGGACACAACCAATCCCTGCCCCAAACACTACGCCCACCCTGCCAGGACACACCCAATCCCCCCATGGACACCCCTGCTGCCGGGACACACCCAAGGCTCTCCCCTCCTATGAGCGGGACGCTCCCACTCCCCCCTTGCAGAGGGGATCTGACACTCTGCACTGTTCCTTCAGCCACAGCGGCATCCAATAAACCCTCATGCCCCAAAGCATACTGCCCCCCCAAGTCTGTAGGGCAGGGCAGGAGAGTGCTACACACCCTTCCCCGCATGTCCCTCGCAACCCGGCCCCTGCCCTGCCCACACCGCCCCCAGGCGAGGGCGGCAGTCAAGGATGGGAGAGGAGTTGGAATTCGTGGTTACAGCCGGGAGCTGGCAGCCAGGACTCCTGGGTTCTCTCCCTGGCTCCAGGAGGAGAGTACGGGTTCGTGGCTAGCACAGAATCCCGAGCACTCCTGAAAGCACATTGAGACAATCGTTTATTAAGGCCCAGACGCCGACCAGGGGCAGGAGTCAGAACAGCTCAGACCCCCCCCCCCCCCCCCCCCGTCCTCATTGTGCGGGGGGACGAATCACTGCAGGAGTCCATGATTAGAGTCCAGAGAGGGCGGAGCCACAGAAGGGGGGGAATCAACCCCACCCCCTTTCAGGGGCAGCCAGGGGAGGGGGAAATCAGCACCCCCCTGAGGCGTGGGGCAGCGGCTCAGGGCTGCAGGCGGATGGCCCCATCCAGGCGGATCACCTCCCCATTCAGCATGGGGTTCTCCACGATGCACTGGACCAGGTGGGCGTATTCCCCGGGCAGCCCCAGGCGGCTGGGGAAGGGCACCTGGCGAGCCAGGAACGTTTGCACTTTCTCGGGGAGCCCTGCCAGCAGGGGGGTGGCGAACAGACCTAGGGGGAGAGAGACAGTGAGGGGGGCTGGCTCTCTGCTACCTCCCCAGCTCTGCCGGTGCCCCTCAATCCCAGCCCCCAGGAGCCCCCCGCTACCTCCCCAGCTCTGCCGGTGCCCCTCAATCCCCACCCGTAGCCCCCTTCTCTCCCCACACCATGACAGGAGCCACGCTGGGGTTGGTACCTGGGGCGATGGTGATGACACGGATCCCCATTGGGGCCAGATCCCTGGCGATGGGCAGGGTCATGCCCACGATGCCCCCTTTAGAGGCAGAGTACGCAGCTTGACCCACCTGTACGACAAGCAAAGCATTATCTGGGGTGCAGGGACATGGGGGACTGCCGGGGAGAGCAACCTCTTCCCAGCCTCCTGCCTGCTCCCCACAGCACAGCACCCCCCCAGCGTCTGGCCCTGCCTGCCAGGGGAGAGCACCCCCTGCCCAGGCCCCCGCCCACAGCACCCCCTCAGCGTCCAGCCCTGCCTGCCAGGGGAGAGCACCCCCTGCCCAGGCCCCCGCCCACAGCACAGCACCCCCCCAGCGTCCGGCCCTGCCTGCCAGGGGAGAGCGCCCCCTGCCCAGGCCCCCGCCCACAGCACAGCACCCCCCCCCAGCATCCGGCCCTGCCTGCCAGGGCCCCGCAGCCCCCCCCACACACACACCCCCCAGCGCGCCCGCCTGCCAGGGAGAGCGCCCGCCAGCCCGCCCACAGACAGCACCCCCCAGGCGGCCCTGCCTGCCAGGGAGAGCACCCCCTGCCCAGGCCCCCGCCCACAGCACAGCACCCCCCAGCGGCCGGCCCTGCCTGCCAGGGAGAGCACCCCTGCCCAGGCCCCCGCCCACAGCACAGCACCCCCCCAGCATCCGGCCCTGCCTGCCAGGGGAGAGCGCCCCCTGCCCAGGCCCCCGCCCACAGCACAGCACCCCCCCAGCGGCCGGCCCTGCCTGCCAGGGGAGAGCGCCCCCTGCCCAGGCCCCCGCCCACAGCACAGCACCCCCCCAGCGGCCGGCCCTGCCTGCCAGGGGAGAGCACCCCCTGCCCAGGCCCCCGCCCACAGCACAGCACCCCCCCAGTGCCCGGCCCTGCCTGCCAGGGGAGAGAGCCCCCTGCCCAGCCCCTTGTAGCACAGCGCCTCCTAGGGCTCACCTGGCCCTCGAAAGCAGCCACGCTGGCTGTGTTGACAATCACTCCTCTGTGCCCATCGGAGTCAGGGGCATTCTTGCCCATCTCACCAGCACTCAGTCGGATCACGTTAAAGGTGCCAGCAACATTGACCTGGGGGGCAGGGCAGACAGATCAAACCAATGAGCCCACCCACCACCATATCCCACCCCCAAAATCCAGCCCATTATCCCTCCTTGGTCCCCTCTCACCACCATGGCGTTGGCAGGGCAAAGGGGATCAAGGAGGGGATGGAGGGAGGGGGTCCCTCCAGCCCCACTCACGTTGAGGACCCTCTGGAAATCCTCCAGGTTGTGGGGCGTGTCCTTCTTGGCGTTGTAGGTCTTGACAGCCACAGCAATTCCAGCACAGTTCACGGCCAAATCCAAGCGCCCAAACTTCTCCCGCACCAGGTCCAGGACCCCCTTTACATCCGCCTCTGACGTCACCTGAGCCACCGGGCAGGGAGGAGAGGTTAATCCATGTCACCTCCGCGCCAGACCCCACTCCCCTCCCAGAGTCAGCGAGAGAACCCAGGTGTCCTGGCTCCCAGCCCTTCCCCGCTCTAACCCACTAGTCCCAACTCCCCTGCCAGAACCAGGAATAGAACCCAGGAGTCTGGGACCTACATCAGCTGGAGCAAAGACGCATTGTTCCCCCAGCACTTTGGCCACACTTGGCCCATCCGACGTCGGCAGGTCCACGATCACCGCGCTGGCTCCCTGCTGCACCAGGCGCTCGGCAGTGGCGCGACCCAGGCCAGAGGCCCCACCGGTAACCAGGCCAACCATTCCCTGGGAGCAAAAGCAGAGGAAGGGAGCAGTGAATACAAAAAAAAAAGCCCTGAATACCACCCATAGCTTTAATGAGCTATCCCAGACCCCCCCATCTCACGTGCATAATGGACTGTCCCTACAATCCTTTCTTCCTCTGACCATAATGGTTTCTCCCAGACCCCCCCATCACATGTGCATAATGGTCTTTCCCTATACCTCCCTCTTTGCCTGTGCATAATGGTGTCACCCACAACCCCCTCCTAAAGTGTGCACACTGGTCTCTTCCTAAGACCCCTGAATCTTGCACATAATGGTCTCTCCTTAACCCCCATCAGTATAATGGGCTCTGTTTACTGCTCTCATGAGCATAATGGTCTCACCCAGGATTCCCTCATACTGTGTGTGTTATAGTCTCTCCCTAACCTCCCCCAGAAATATAATGGTCTCTCCCTACACAGCCTCCTCCTGCTAACTGCATAATGGTCCCTCCCAGCCCTGCCTCCTCCCAGTGCACAGAATGGTCCTTTCCTTTGATTCCCACCCCCCCCCCCCCCGGTCAAATGGTCTCCCCCTCTTCTCAGGCTCATCATGGTATGGTCCAGCATGCTCCGCTGCCCCATGCGTAAGGGGGCGTGGCTACACTTGCGGATGTGGAGCGCAGGGAGTTAAACCCGCCTGCGGAGAGCGCCGCCATCTGTCCCCGCTGCCCGCGCCCTGGTGGGGCCTCATTGGCGGCACTTGCAGTGGTGCATTGTGGGCAGCTACCCCAGCATGCAAGTGGCTGCAACGTGCTTTTCAAAGGGGGGGGTGGAGTGTGACAGGGAGTGTGTTGTGTGTATGTGTGGGGGGGAGAGGGGGTTTTGGGGGGGCTGAGAGCATGTCAGCATGCTGTCTTGTAAGTTCAGACAGCAGCAAACCCCCCCCCCCCCCGCCCGCCTCTCTCTCTCACACACGGCATTCCACAGGAACGGTTGCTTTGTCTCGGGGCAGATAAGCCCCCGGCTGTCAGAAACGGAGCTTCCAAAGGGCACATCCGCGTTCCTGCGGCGATTCCAGAACAATGACAGGAGCGGCCACTTGACTTCAGGGGACTAGGGGACGTTTCCGGAGGCTGATCAGAGTGCAGTAATGCAACACCTCGTTCACACTGGCGCCGCGGCGCTCCAGGGGGGCGCAAATGTTATTCCACTCGCCAAGGTGGAGCCGCGGAGTCAGAGCGCTCTACATGCCTCGCCAGCGTGGATGGGGAGTGAGCTAGTGCGCCCGGGGCTTGCAAGTGTAGCCAAGCCCCCATAGTCTCTCGTAGAATATCAGGGTTGGAAGGGACCTCAGGAGGTCATCTAGTCCAACCCCCTGCTCAAAAGCAGGACCAATCCCCAATTAAATCATCCCAGCCAGGGCTTTGTCAAGCCTGACCTTAAAAACTTCTAAGGAAGGAGATTCTATCACCTCCCTAGGTAACGCATTCCAGTGCTTCACCACCCTCCTAGTGAAAAAGTTTTTCCTAATATCCAACCTAAACCTCCCCCACTGCAACTTGAGACCATTACTCCTTGTCCTGTCATCTGCTATCACTGAGGATAGTCTAGAACCATCCTCTCTGGAACCACCTCTCAGGTAGCTGAAAGCAGCTATCAAATCCCCCCTCATTCTTTTCTTCTGCAGACTAAACAATCCCAGTTCCCTCAGCCTCTCCTCATAAGTTGTGTGTTCCAGTCCCCTAATCATTTTTGTTGCCCTTCGCTGGACTCTCTCCAATTTATCCACATCCTTCTTGTAGTGCGGGGCCCAAAACTGGACACAGTACTCCAGATGAGGCCTCACCAATGTCGAATAGAGGGGAACGATCACGTCCCTCGATCTGCTCGCTATGCCCCTACTTATACATCCCAAAATGCCATTGGCCTTCTTGGCAACAAGGGCACACTGCTGACTCATATCCAGCTTCTCGTCCACTGTCACCCCTAGGTCCTTTTCCGCAGAACTGCTGCCAAGCCATTCGGTCCCTAGTCTGTAGCGGTGCATGGGATTCTTCCGTCCTAAGTGCAGGACCCTGCACTTATCCTTGTTGAACCTCATCAGATTTCCAATCCTCCAATTTGTCTAGGTCCCTCTGTATCCTATCCCTGCCCTCCAGCATATCTACCACTCCTCCTAGTTTAGTGTCATCCGCAAATTTGCTGAGAGTGCAATCCACACCATCCTCCAGATCATTTATGAAGATATTGAACAAAACCGGCCCCAGGACCGACCCTTGGGGCACCCCACTTGACACCAGCTGCCATCTAGACATGGAGCCATTGATCACTACCCGTTGAGCCCGACAATCTAGCCAACTTTCTACCCACCTTATAGTGCATTCATCCAGCCCATACTTCTTTAACTTGCTGACAAGAATACTGTGGGAGACCGTGTCAAAAACTTTGCTAAAGTCAAGAAACAATACATCCACTGCTTTCCCTTCATCCACAGAACCAGTAATCTCATCATAGAAGGCGATCTCTCTCTTCGCCAGACTCCCCCCTCCTATTGTGTATAGTAGTCTCGCCCAATTACCACCCCTCTTGTTTGATGGTCTCTTCCATCCCAATCCCCCCATTGCGTAGAATGGTCTCTACCTCTCACGAGAAACAAGTCCTCCAGCCACCACTATTGGTAGAGAACAAGAAGTGTAAAATGGTTTCTCCCATCCCAATCCCCCCCCCATTCTACACAATGGTCTCTCCCAGGCACAGCCTCCCAGGGGTCTCTCCTGCCTACGTGGGCGCAGCGGCCTCCAGGCCTGGGGAGATGCCTAATGATCTCACCCATCTTGTGGTGCCTCCCCCCTACCCCGCATAGAATGGTCTCACCCTCCCCGTCCTTATGCTGCCCCAGCTGGGTACCTTCACGCTCCTCAACGCCGCCGCCATCTTGCTGCCGCTCCACGCCCCGCCCCCTGACACAGGGGCTGACCAATCAAAGGCAAGGCCACTCTTAAAGGGGAGGCAGACACTATTTAATAATCAGGGACTATTAATCCCCAGGAGAGAAGAGCTCTTAAAGGAGAAAGCGCAGGGAGAACTTAAAGGGAAAGAGGGAGGCAAAAAATGAACATAGCCATTAAAGGGGAGGGAGGGCTTAAAGGGGCAGGGGGAGCCAGGACGCCTGGGTTCTCTCCTTGGCTCTGGGAGGGGAGTGTGGTCTGGTGGTTAGAGCGGGGGGGGCGGAGGGCTGGGAGCCAGGACGCCTGGGTTCTCTCCCCGGCTCTGGGAGGGGAGTGGGGGTCTAGTGGTTACAGCGGGGGGAGGCGGAGGGCTGGGAGCCAGGACGCCTGGGTTCTCTCATTGGCTCTGGGAGGGGAGTGGGGTCTAGGGGTTAGAGCGGGGGTGGGCTGGAAGCCAGCACACCTGGGTTCTCTCCCCGGCTCTGGAAGGGCAGGGGGTGAATAGGTTGTTTCTTCTTTTATAATTTCCCGCAGAGCCCCCCCCGGCCCACCCGCCATGACCAACACACATCACCGGGGCGGGGTGGGGGAGGGACTATCGCAGTTTATTTACATTTTTTGATCCCATCCTGCTTTACAAAGTGCCCATGGGCAAGGGGCTGTCAAAGTCCCAGCAGCCATCTTGGAAGCTGGCATGTGGGGGGGGGGTCCTGCCAGGTCTCCTGCTGAGCCCCCCTCCGCAGACAGTACCTGCACAGCGCAGCTTTGTCCATGGCCCCCCTCTGACAGATGAGACCCCCCCTCTGGGGGGCACCCTCCTGTCCCACAATCTCCCACTGTGCCGCCTTCATCCCCGCCACTAAAACCGCTGGCTCTGGAACACTGCTCCAGAAATGACGGGTTCTGGGGTCACAAACACTCAGTAGGGGCCAGAGTTGATCTAGAACCGAGCCCCAGTGCTCCAGAAGCAGCTCAACTTGCTCCAGATCTCGCAGGCTACATCATCCTAGAAATCACTCGCTGCTCTAGAATCAACCCCCTTCTCTGTCATCAGCATACCCCCCCCCACTCCAGAACACTCCGGGTTGGGTCTAGGACCCAGGGGCCTCCCTCCAGCCCACACTGTAAACCTTGCTCTCAAACCCCATGCATCTGGCTCCCAGCCCCACATCTACTCTGGCTCTAGAGCCCATTAGGCTCCAGACCCCACTTTACAGGGTCACTCCAGTGTCGCTCTGGATCCAGTTTGAACCCCACCCTAGAACGATTTTAAAACTTTGCTCTAGAACCCATTGCTCCTACGCCACGTCCCACGTAAAAGGTCACTCTAGAACAGGTTGGTTTCACTCGAGAACCCACGTTGAGGGTTCCTTGAGAACCCAAAGCCATATGTGCTCTAAAACACATTGGCCCTGCTCTAGAGCCCATTTAAAAACCACCCCCGAAAGCCATCTTCTCTGCTCCCAAACCCAGCTTTCAGCTCATTCTAGAACGCACTCTTATTCTAGTTGAAGCCTCACTCTAGAGCCCAAGTCTGGTCATGTTCTAGATCGTGTGGCTCCTGCCGCAGAACCCATCGAATTACCACTCTGGAACCTGCGGAAGTTGTTCTAGAACTCAGTCCCAGCCATGGTGGCCATGTTCCCCCTCTGCCGGACTCCATCCACGTCCTGCCACTCCCCAGAGGGGACGTGCCCTCTTCCCCTGCCCCGGGAGGCACACAGTCCAGCAGTCCATCTGTCAAGCAGAAGGGGGGGAGGGGGAAAGGGGGCTCAGTCGTCCTCAGTGCCCCCCACGTAGTGGCAGACAGCGTCGTAGTCTAGCGCCAGGACGTCCCCATCCTCATCGTGCTGCAGCTGCACCAGCGCCCGGCTCCGCTGCTGGTCGCGCTGCAGGATCCGACCCACCTGGGGGGGGGGGGGGAGACAGGAAGCTCCTGTGAGTCTTGCATGTGGGGGGGGGGGGCAGTTTGCAAAGGACTCTGGGAAGAAGGGCAGCTGCGTACAGACTCCCGCAACAGGAAGGGCTAAGCTAGTAACTTGGGGGGCAGATGAGGGGGCTTCTCCAGCATAATCCCCCTCACCCACGAACCCCCTATATCTCCCTCTCCATTACCCCTAGATCCCCCCCCCGCAGCACTCACCCCCAGCTACCCTGCCCCCCACCCCCAGCGTATCTTCCCTCTAGCTCCCAGAATCCTCAGAATCCATCCCCCACCCCTTCAGATTCCTCCCACTACCTCCAACCCCCACATGTTCTTCCCACTAGCCCCCCAGAGCCCCTGACTACCCCACCCCCATGTGTCCTCCCCCCACACTTCCTCCAGCTCCCAGCCTCCCCGTTACCCCCACTGCCCTCTGCGGTCCCTGCCAGGGAGGGGGGTTGGGGGTCACTCACCCTGCCAGCGTGCTCCCCCAGCACCACCATCACCCAGTCTGCAGAGCCCCTGGGGATGACCGTCTCCAGCATGGCCTCCCGGATGCCTGGGGGGTTGGGGAGGACATGGGTCAGTGTCATACAGTGGGTCCCCCATACACGATCCCTGGCCCCCCAGCCACCCACCCCACAGATGCCCCTCCATCCTCTCCAACACCCTCGCTCCCCAATGACCCAGGGTCACCCCTCCCCCATCGTAGTCACCTCGCTTCTCACACAACCCCCTTACCTCATGGGCGTCAGCCCCTCCTGGCAATTACCCCAGATACAGCCGCACGGTCACCTGCCCCATGGATCCATCTACAGATCCTCCCCCCCCGCAACAACCGTGTCTCCCCCACCCCACAAAACCCAAACTGGCTCTTCTAGCATCCCCAATAATCTGGGGTTATCCTGCCCCCCACAACCCTCTCCCTAGAGTCACGTGCCTCATATCAGGCCATATTCCCCCATAACCTCCCCCAGGGAATGAACCCTCTTCTGCCAACCAACTCTCCACGGGATCACCCCAAAACCCCCAAATGGGAGTAGGCCCCCCCCCCACAACCCTCACATACACAACTCCCCTACCCCATAGGCTAGAACAGAAAGGCCCTGGAAGAGTGCAGAGAGGTGGAGAATGGGGAAGAGCTGGGATATAACAAAGGGGTGCCCCCCCTCCCAACTTACCATCCAAGACCTGCCCCTCTTCTGTCCGGCAGACACAGGTATCTGGGCTAAGCACATCCTCGATCTGCATCTAGGGAGAGAGAGAGGGGGGTGGAATGGACATGGGGCCTGTCCCCTGTAGGGGGCGCCAGCTCCCATCCAGCCCCAGGGCGGGGACTGGCTGGCTCAGGGGGGATGGGGAACGGGACGCTGGTTCCCGTCTGGCCCTGGGGGGGGCAGGGAGGGGAAGGAGGTACCTTGGTGTTATAGTATTTTCCCCCTTTGTAGAGCTTGTCCACGAAGCGAATCCGCAGATCTCGCCGCAGCCAGTGGGGGGAGCGGGAGGACGAGGAGCCGCTGCTGCCACCTTTACTCTGCTTCCCAGCGCGGGTGTCGCTGCGGGAGAACAGGCAGTCAGGGGCAGTCCTGGTGCCAGGGGGCGCCATGCTGCAAGGAACGGGGTGCACCGTGCTGTGGGGCGCTGTTTTATCAAGAAAGGCATTTGAGCTGCCCCAGCCTCAGGGCAGGAACCCTGGCATCCGGGCGGCACTGCAGCTCGGGGGATTTTGCCTTTTTAAATCTTCCTCTGGGCTTTGAATCAGAGACAAGAATCAGCTGCACTTCCTGTCCTAACAGCAGCACCAGCTGTCACCCGCCCCAGAGGTGGCTGCATCTCAGCCCCAGGTGAGCCACTCCCGAGCAACGTTGTGTGTGGCTGTTCCCCAGCTGCCCCGCCCCAGAGGTGGCTGCATCTCAGCACTGGGCGAGCCCTCCCAGGCCTCTACCTCTCCAAGTCTGCTGGCTGTTTCCTCTTTCTGTCCTTCTCTTCCCCCTTCTCTCGGGGAACCCTGGCGTCCGGGGTGTCAGAGGGTCCATTTCTCTCCTTCTCTTCTTTCTCTTTGTGGGCTTTGCTTAAGTGGCCTGAGAAGCAGATTGGGGAGACAGATGGGGGTGAGGTTGGCGGGGAGGAGGAGGGACTGTGGTGTGGTGGGGGTACCAGGGAAAGTCACGTGACTCACTCAGATCCTTGGCTAGTTTCTCGTACTCCTTTCTGGTCACAGGTCGCAGGCTGTGCTGGCTGACAGTGACGATCTTCTCCCCGATGGCCAGTTTCACCATCACCCGGGCGTTATCGGGGTCTACACCTTCGATCTGCAGGCAGGGAGAGAAAAAGACGAGAATCGGGCATGGGGCCTGTGCTCTCTAGGGGGCGCTGGCTCCCATCAGCCCCAGGGCGGGGACTGGCTGGCTCTGGGAGGCAGGAAACGGGGGAAACTCACCTTCCCGTAGAGGTCTTTGTGGGGCCCAGCCACGATCAGCACAGCGCCCCCTGCCACCAGCCCCAGCGGCTCCTCCTCGCCCCCCCGGCGCTCCTCGCCCGGCTTGGGGGGCCGCACGGGGCAGGCCAGCTGCAAGTCCTGGATGGCTGAGCGGTCGGCTCCCAGGCCCAGCCCCCTGGGGCGCAGCTGGTGCTCCAGGGGCTTCACGTCTCTAAATAGGGGGGAAGGGAAGTTCAGGGACCCCCCAAACTCCCCTCCCCCAACTGACCTTTGACCCCCACCGGTCTATCACCACTCCATGATGACCTATGATCTCCGCACTGGTCTATAACTCCACCCAAACTCTGCCTGCCCCCCATATGAACCCTCCACCTCCTGCCTCCACCAGATCTGACCCACAACCCCCGCACTGATCTATGTTCCCCCCTCCAGGGGTCACTCACTGCTTAAAGGTGCGTCCAATGCCCTCGCCCGCCTTCCAGCCCATGCCCCTCAGCATTGCAACGCCGTAGGCCTCCACAGGCACCACCTCGTAATCTGCGTCCGTCGACTGCAGGAAGAGAAGGACAGGAACAATGTTAACCTGTGGAACTACCTGCCACAGGACCAAAGGGGCCCTGCCACAGGAGGGTGGGGCTCCAGGGACGGATGGGAGTCCGTCAGGGAACCCTCTTACCGATTCCGGCCGCAGGCTCACGTCCACCCGGTTGCTGTCTTCGTACCCGTCAGGGACACGGTTCTGCAGGAGCAGGGGGATGGCCAGGTTGGGGTCTGCCTGGGAGCCGCTCTCCCACCGCTCCTGGGACTGCCGGCACTCTGCAACGCACAGGAACCCATCAGGAGCTAGACACCAGGGTCCCAGCCGTGGTTCAGTGAGTGGGGGCTAATGGTTAGAGCAGGGGGGGCTAGGAGCCAGGACTCCTGGGTTCTCTTCCAGCTCTGGGAGGATAGTGGGGGTCTAGTGGTTAGAGCAGGGGGATGCTGAGAGCCAGGACTCCCGGGTTCCCTGCCGTGCTCACCCTCTATGATCTCCCTCACAGCCTGGGACTCCACCCCGTCATCCCTCTGCTGGTTTGGGGCCCCCGCAGGGGGCATCTCCGGCTTCTTCCATTGGTTGCGCTGGATCAGGGGGATGACGAGAGCCTTAGGTGGTGGGGCAGGCCGGAGGCTGCAGGCCAGAGAGAAACCATACCATTACCATGGGTTAGCTGGACCGTGCCCCCGCCCCCTGTACCATGGCTCCTCCCACTGCCCCAGAGCCTCAATGCAATGCCCCACCCCCCATGGGCCTGCCCCATGCCCCAATAGCCCTCCCCAACTCACACGCTGCATGCAGACCCTGCACACAGCCCCCCTCCCCGCCCCACTGCCCCTCCCACAGTGACCTCCCCACCCACCTCTGATCCCACCCATCTGCATGGCCACACCCCACTCCTGCCCCACGGCCCCTCCCAGCCCCACGGCCCCTCCCCCAGGCACGCCCCCTTCCAGCCCTACAGCCCATCCCCAAGACATGCCCCCCACGGCACCTCCCCAGACTAGCCCCCTCCCGCCCCACGGCCCCTCCCCAAGACACGCTCCCACCAGCCCCACGGCCCCTCCCCAGACAAGCCCCGTCCCGCCCCACGGCCACGCCCCCTCCCAGCCCCACCTCCTCCCGCCCCACGGCCCCTCCTCCCAGGCACGCCCGCTGGCGCACGCGCTCTTGCTCACGTGCGCAGAGCCCGCGGCTGCCCACCCCAGCCCGGCGCCCGCGCATGCGCGCTGCTCTCACCTGCGCAGCTCGCTCCCCTCCACGGCGCTGATGAAGTCGGGCTCCGGGGCGGCCCCAGCCCCGCCCTCCCCTACGAGCCGCCTGCGCGCGGTCGTGCGCGTGAACCCGAACGAGACCGGGCGCGGGGCCGGGGCGCCGCCCGCCGCCGGGCCGCCGTCCGACGCCATCTTGCTGCCCCTCGCAGCACGGGGAATCATGGGGGTTGTAGTCCCGCCCCCCGCGCAAGGCCTCATGGGGGTTGTATAACCCCGCCCCCCCCCGCGCAGAGCCTCATGGGGGATGTAGTCCCGACCCGACCCGCGCTGCACCGGACATAGCCCCGCCCCCCCGCGCAATGCCTCATGGGGATGTAGCTCCGCCCCCCGCGCAGGGCATCACGGGGATGTCGTCCCCGCCAATGCATCATGGGGGATTAGTCCCTCCCCCCGCGCTGCCTCATGGGGCAATGTGGTCACGCCCCCGCGCAAGGCATCATGGGCGTTGTAGTCCCGTCCCGGCGCACGGCTCCATGGAGGTTGTAGTCCCGCCCCGGGGCTGTCTCACAGGGGATGTGGGGGGGCTGAGACGACAGCTCCCATGATGCCGTGCGAGTCTCCTCAAGTGCCCCCCGCCCCAATGGCCTGTGAGCCCATGAGACGGGGGGGGCCCCGTGGCCCTAGGGGAGGGGGCGCTGGGCCGGGAGCCGGGGAGCCCCAATCCCCCCCCCCGGTGGCCCTAGGGGAGGGGGCGCTGGGCCAGGAGCCGGGGAGCCCCCAATCCCCCCCCGGTGGCCCTAGGGGAGGGGGCGCTGGGCCGGGAGCCGGGGGAGCCCCAATCCCCCCCCCGGTGGCCCTAGGGGAGGGGGCGCTGGGCCGGGAGCCGGGGAGCCCCAATCCCCCCCCGGTGGCCCTAGGGGAGGGGGCGCTGGGCCGGGAGCCGGGGAGCCCCAATCCCCCCCCCCGGTGGCCCTAGGGGAGGGGGCGCTGGGCCGGGAGCCGGGGAGCCCCAATCCCCCCCCCCCCGGTGGCCCTAGGGGAGGGGGCGCTGGGCCGGGAGCCGGGGAGCCCCAATCCCCCCCGTGGCCCTAGGGGAGGGGGCGCTGGGCCGGGAGCCGGGGAGCCCCAATCCCCCCCCGGTGGCCCTAGGGGAGGGGGCGCTGGGCCGGGAGCCGGGGAGCCCCAATCCCCCCCCGCGGTGGCCCTAGGGGAGGGGGCGCTGGGCCGGGAGCCGGGGAGCCCCAATCCCCCCCCGTGGCCCTAGGGGAGGGGGCGTGGGGGCGCGTGGGCCTGGGGAGGGGGGGGGCCGGGAGCCCCAATCCCCCCCCCGTGGCCCTAGGGGAGGGGGCGCTGGGCCAGGAGCCGGGGAGCCCCAATCCCCCCCCCGGTGGCCCTAGGGGAGGGGGCGCTGGGCCGGGAGCCGGGGAGCCCCAATCCCCCCCCGGTGGCCCTAGGGGAGGGGGCGCTGGGCCGGGAGCCGGGGAGCCCCAATCCCCCCCCCGGTGGCCCTAGGGGAGGGGGCGCTGGGCCGGGAGCCGGGGAGCCCCAATCCCCCCCGGTGGCCTAGGGGGGGGGCGCTGGGCCGGGAGCCGGGAGCCCCAATCCCCCGGTGGCCCTAGGGGAGGGGCGTGGGCGGGCGGGACCCAATCCCCCCGGTGGCCCTAGGGGAAGGGGGCGCTGGGCCGGGAGCCGGGGAGCCCCAATCCCCCCCCGGTGGCCCTAGGGGGAGGGGGCGCTGGGCCGGGAGCCGGGGAGCCCCAATCCCCCCCCGTGGCCCTAGGGGAGGGGGCGCTGGGCCGGGAGCCGGGGAGCCCCAATCCCCCCCCCCCCGGTGGCCCTAGGGGAGGGGGCGCTGGGCCGGGAGCCGGGGAGCCCCAATCCCCCCCCGGTGGCCCTAGGGGAGGGGGCGCTGGGCCGGGAGCCGGGGAGCCCCAATCCCCCCCGGTGGCCCTAGGGGAGGGGGCGCTGGGCCGGGAGCCGGGGAGCCCCAATCCCCCCCCCCGGTGGCCCTAGGGGAGGGGGCGCTGGGCCGGGAGCCGGGGAGCCCCCAATCCCCCCCGGTGGCCCTAGGGGAGGGGGCTGGGCCGGGAGCCGGGAGCCCCAATCCCCCCCGTGGCCCTGGGGAGGGGGGGGGGGGGGGAGGGGGCGCTGGGCCGGGAGCCGGGGAGCCCCAATCCCCCCCGGTGGCCCTAGGGGAGGGGGCGCTGGGCCGGGAGCCGGGGGAGCCCCAATCCCCCCCCGGTGGCCCTAGGGGAGGGGGCGCTGGGCCGGGAGCCGGGGAGCCCCAATCCCCCCCCCCGGTGGCCCTAGGGGAGGGGGCGCTGGGCCGGGAGCCGGGGAGCCCCAATCCCCCCCCCGGTGGCCCTAGGGGAGGGGGCGCTGGGCCGAGAGCCGGGGAGCCCCAATCCCCCCCCCCGGTGGCCCTAGGGGAGGGGGCGCTGGGCCGAGAGCCGGGGAGCCCCAATCCTCCCTCCCCCCGGTGGCCCTAGGGGAGGGGCGCTGGGCTGGGAGCCCCAATGCCCCCCCCATCTCCTACAGGCCTCAGGGCACCGTGCCCCAGACAGCAGCCGCCCTTTCCCTGCTGTGTACACACATAAATCCCTTAACCCCTGTTCCAGCCACTTTTGGGCTCGATGCCGAATCGATGTCCTTTACCTCGCCGCTCTAACCCGCCAGCCCACACTCCCCTCCTGGAGCCAGGGAGAGAACCCAGGAGTCCTGGGTCCCAGCCCCCCCCCCCCGCTCTCACTCCCCTCCTGGAGCCAGGGAGAGAACCCAGGAGTCCTGGGTCCCAGCCCCCCCCGCTCTAACCACCAGACCCCGCTCCCCTCCCGGAGCCAGGGAGAGAACCCAGGAGTCCTGGGTTGAGCCCCCCCGCCCCAATTGCTCCTGTACCGTGTGTGGCAGGGGTAAGACCTCTTTAGGGGCTGGGTCTGTTGAATGAACCCCCCCCCCCCTTCACAGACTGCACCCTCCTTAAGGAAGGCTTTATCATGAAATGACTGATGATTAATTACTCGCCCTTTTGGGGCTGGATTGGAGCCAGCGCCCCCTAGAGGGGAAAGGCCCCGTGTCCCATATCCTGGGGCGGGGGGGGGGGGAATTAGCCGCTCTGGTCTCCGATTCGCTGGCCCGTCTGTCCATCCCCCCCCCCCCCCCCCCGGCTCTCCCAGCCTAGCGACGGAGGAGGAGGTGGAAGGTTACCGGGACAGCAAACCCCGTTGCCTTGGCGACCCCCCGTTGCTAACCCCGGCAGCATCGGGTACCACTGGGGGGGGTCGGAGCAGCGCCGGAGGCCGGGGCACCGCAGGGTAAGGGCCCCCCCCAGCCAGCAGAGATGGGGCGGGCAGCAGGATCAGCTGTTAATTGGATTGTCCCGGCGGGGGGGGATGTAAAGGGGGGGGGCTTGGATAGATCGAGGAGGGGCCCAGGGGGGATCCTAAAGGTCGAGGGGGGGGTGGGATTGGATCTGTGGTGGACAAATGGATCTTAAGGGACTGTGGGGGGGGGGTCGGGATGGATCGGTGGGGTCTGGGGTGGCATAGGGCAGGGATGGAGGTGGCAGAGGGGACAGATTCAGATTCCTCCTTTGGGGGGGCTCTGGAGTGGGGGAACCACCTGCCCTAAGGGAGACTTCCCACCCCGTGGGGCTATTTCTGGGTTCTCCCAGATGCTAAGGGGGGAGAGGCTGGCGTCACCCCTCCCCCTTTTAACCAGTCAGATCTAGACTCAGATCTTTTTCCAGAGTCTGTTCTGGAGCCTGGGGGAGGCAGGGGCCCCTTTTACCAGACCCACCTCTCAGCACCTCCCCCACAGCGTTGGCTCATGGGATCTAGACCCCCTCCCATCTTCCTGCCGGGGAGCTGCAAAAACTCCCAACACCCCCCCGACGCACCCCAGGGCTTGGACCCCAGGGCTGATTCTCCCCCCAGGCTGCCAGCCCCGTTCATGGAGGCCCCAGGTTCTGGGATCTGTCCCAGCCTAGATCCAGGCTACAGGGAGCAACTCATTTAATGTGCTGGGCCCCAACGGCCAGCCCAGTTCTGCCCGGCTCCATCTTGTCTCTCCCTTCCTCCCCCCACAACACCCGGGCTGGGCTCCAGAAGCCTCCAAAAAAACCCAGTTTCCCAGATGCATCCCCCGTCCGGCCTGTCGGGCTTTCCCGCTGGTGTGGGGTGGCTGGTTGAGTCATGGGGGCAGGGCGTCTTGCTTGGACCCTCTGTCGCTTTGGGTCAGTTTTGACCAATTCTGCAATGGCCCGGTTATTTCTCCCCTTCCCACCCCAGGTGGCGAGATGACACCCCTACCTCATACCTCCCACCGTGGCCAAGGAGCGGATGGAAACCTCCTCCCCCTGCAAAGGCCGGAGGGAAACTGAGGCACGCAGTGGCAAAAGACGACGGCAGCTTCCCCCTTCGTCCCAGCCCCTTTCACAGGGGTGGGGCTGTGGGGCGGAAACACCCGTTTCCCGATCCTCGTGTCCCGCATAATCCATTGCGATGCCTGTGGGCTAGCAACAGACAGCTGCACCCGTGCCAGCCCGGGTCGAGCCTGAGCCACATCGGCCTCGAAGGAGAGCAGGGTCTTCCGGCAGGAACCCGTTCTGGGCTAACACCCTCTCTCTGCACCAGCCGGCCTGTCCCACCTTCCCCCCAGCTGCAGCCAGGTAATATCAGTTGCTCAGAGCCTGGGTAGGGGATGAACCTGCCCACCACCCCTGCCTGGAAGAGTCCCAGGCAGGAGACAGTTCTAGATCACGCCCCAGCAAAATGGGTTCTAGAGTTTCCAGATCCCCACTGGGTTCTCGGGGGAGGGAGGCGTTTCCAGCTATCCAGTGGGGCCCGGTGGGTTCTAGAGTGACCGAGGTTTGCGGCCAATCCAGCCCTCCCAGGGCCAGTGTGGGGAGGACGCCCCGTCACCCGGGGGGCTTGAGCTGAGATCCATGCTCTAGATCCCCAGAGTACTCGAACTGGCTCCTCACATGGTTCTAGAGTACCCAGGGGGGCCTCTAGATCCCAGCCAGTCCCTACATCCCGGGATCTAGCTCTCCCGGGGGTTCTAGAAGGGGCGGGGGGTTTCTAGAGCCCAATGGGTTCTAGAGCCAGAAGGACCTGAGAGATGGGCGGAGGGGGAGCCCAGGGGGCTGCGGGTCAGGAGTGAGGAGCATTTTCCCCCCAGGCTGGTGCTGTGGGGCACGGCCGCCCTCCCCGGCTGAAGGGGTGCCTCGGGACTGGGGATAAGTGTCACCAGTGTCTGGACCCAGGAGACTGAGGAGCCAGAGTCCCCCCAACATGGCCCAGAGTGACTCTAGGGGGGACAGGAGAGAGGAGACATACAGGGTGATGGGGGGCACCGTGGGGCAGGGGATTGGGCAGAGGGTGCTCTCCCCTGGCAGTCAGGGCCAGGCACTGGGGGGCTCCGTGGGGGGGGCTGGGAAGGATGCACTCTCCCTTGGTAGGGCTGGGTGCTAGGGGGTGCTATGGGGGGGATAGGCAGGGGGCATTCTCCCCTGGCTGTTGGGGCTGGGTGCTAGGGGGCACCATGGGGGGCTGGGAAGGGGGCGCTCTCCCCTGGCAGTCAGGACCAGGAACTGGGGAGCGCCGTGGGGGGGTGAGGGTTGGAAAGGGGGCACTCTCCCTTGGCAGTCAGGGCCAGGTGCTGAGGGGTGACATGTGGGGGCTGGGTAGGGGCACTCTCCCTTGGCAGTTGGGGCTGGGCGCTGACGGGTGCCGTTGGTCAGGGGGCGCTCTCCCCTGGCCGTCGGGCCGGGCGCTGGGGGGCGCCATGGGGCACGGGGCTGTGCAGGGGGCGCTCTCCCCTGGCCATCGGGGCTGGGCGCTGTGGGGCAGGGGGCTGGGCAGGGGGCGCCGTAGGGCAGGGGGCTGAGTAGGGGGCGCTCTCCCTTGGCAGTTGGGGCCGGGCACCGTGGGGCAGGGGGCGCTCTCCCCTGGCCGTTGGGTCAGGCGCTGGGGGGGCGCCATGGGGCAGGGGGCTGGGCAGGAGGCACTCTCCCCCGGCCATCGGGGCCAGGCGCTGGGGGGGTGCCGTGGGGCAGGGAGCTGGGCAGGGGGTGCCATGGGGCAGGGGTACTGGGGTTGCGGTGGGGCAGGGGGCTGGGCAGCGGGCACCATGGGGCAGGCTATTTCTGTGCTGCTGTTACCTCCCTGCCTCGCCCCAGAGGTGGCTGCATCTCAGGAGGTTCCAACTCTCCCATTCTCTCTCCTTGCAGAGCTGAGGCAGCCGGTGCCGGGGGTCGCGGGATTCTTCCCCCCGGTAGACAGAGACCCCGGTTTGGGCCCTGAGAGCCAGGCCGCCGTCTGCACCATGGGCGGGGCGGGGCCCCATCTCCAGCACTGGGGGGCGGAGCAAAGTGAAGCCTGCGGAATCAGGTGATTCCTCCCCCCCAGGCTGGGGGTCCTGTAGGGGGCGGCAACTGGGGTCAGAGGGGTTGGGCGCTTCCTGGGGCAGTTGAGGATGTGTGGCGGAGACAGGGATGATCTGGGGCTAAGGGGGTGCAGCTGGGGTGGGGAGACACTGGGGGAGGGGCAATTGGGGGAGATCCAGGGGGTCGGGGAAGTGGGGATGGGGGCAGTGTGTGGGGGGGTAGCATTTGGAAGTCCCAGGGAGAGGTGGGGGGCTGTGCGGGGTGGAAAAGGGGAGGAGATTCCAGGGGGAGAAAGCTGCCTGAGGAAGGGACCCCCTCAAATATTTAACCCCACCATATATTCTCCCCCTCCCAGCTGCAGCGCCCACCAGAGCCCCCACAGGGCCCCTGAACCCCCAATCCCAGCAGCAGAGACAGCACCGGTGGCTAGAGGTAAGTGGGGGGGGCTCTAGGGGGCACCGGACACCCCGTACCCATCCCCTGGGTACTGGGAGGCCCCGCTACCCCAGCCCTGGCTGCTAGGGGGCGCTGTGGCCCCGCTATCCCTGCCCCGGGCACCGGAGGGTGCCGCGCTCTGCCCCATTAATTCTCCCCTCTCTGCCCCACAGTGAACGTGGTGGTGGTGGTGGACGGGAGCTGTATCCTCCAATACACCCATCGCGACTCCCCCTGCCTTTGCCTCCACCGCGGGGACGCCCTGCCGGCCCATCGGCCTCCCCCCTGCTATGGGGCCGCTGCCCCCTGCAGCCCCCCCGCCGCCGGGCCCCCCCTCTCCCGCCGGGCCCGGGGCCTGGGGGTCCGGTGCTGCACTGAGTTTTGCCTGGGGAAGGAAGAGGAGCGGGTGGAGTGGAGACCCCGCCACCAGGGGGCGCCCCCCCGCCGCACCCCGCCACCTGGCCGGCTGACGCCGGTGCCCCTGCCCCGCAGCGCCACGGGGCCCTGGTTTACAGTGGAGGCGCCAGAGGACGGTGGACCCGGGGCCCAGGTGGCCAGGATCTGGGACCGGGGGCGCTGCCCCCTGCTGGAGGAGGGCGACCTCGTGGCCAAAGTGAACGGGGCCGACGTGAGGGGCCTCAGGCCCCGGGAGGTGGAGAACGTCCTGCAGCAGCACACGCGGGCCGGGGACGTCATCCTGCTGGTGGAGCGGAGAGGTAATGGGGGCCGCGGGCACTGGGGGGGGGGCCCGTTCCTGGCTGCTTCACTTCCTGTCTGATCCACTAGGGGGCGCTGGGGGAGCTCTCACTGCTGCACCTCCTGCCTAACCCACCAGGGGGCGCCAGGGGCTGCTCCTGGCTGCTTCGCTTCCTGCCTGACCCACCAGGGGGCGCCAGGGGCTGCTCCTGGCTGCTTTGCTTCCTGCCTGACCCACTAGGGGGCGCTGGGGGAGCTCTCACTGCTGCACCTCCTGCCTAACCCACCAGGGGGCGCCAGGGGCTGCTCCTGGCTGCTTTTCTTCCTGCCTGACCCACTAGGGGGCGCTGGGGGAGCTCTCACTGCTGCACCTCCTGCCTAACCCACCAGGGGGCGCCAGGGGCTGCTCCTGGCTGCTTTGCTTCCTGCCTGACCCACTAGGGGGCGCTGGGGGAGCCCTCACTGCTGCACCTGCTGCCTAACCCCCCAGGGGGCCCCGGGGCTGCTCCTGGCTGCTTCGCTTCCTGCCTGACCCACCAGGGGGCGCCAGGGGCTGCTCCTGGCTGCTTTGCTTCCTGCCTGACCCACTAGGGGGCGCTGGGGGAGCTTCACCTGCACCTCCTGCCTAACCCACCAGGGGCCCGGGGCTGCTCCTGGCTGCTTCGCTTCCTGCCTGACCCACCAGGGGGCGCCAGGGGCTGCTCCTGGCTGCTTTGCTTCCTGCCTGACCCACTAGGGGGCGCCTGGGGGTCTGGCTGCTTCGCTTCCTACCTGACCCACTAGGGGGCGCTGGCTGTGGGGGGAGCTTCTGGCCTTTCCCAGCAGGCGGAGATGTGGGGTGTTGGTAATTTTGGGGGACCCTGTACTTATTGACCCCCCCACTTTTCTTCCCCCCCCCAGGTCCTGGACTCTGCCGGGCCCCCCTGGAGCCCCTGTTCTCCATTCCCTCTCCCTGCTGGGATCCCCCCTGGACGGGGGGGGCCCGGGACTCTTGGGGGGGTCCCAGCAGGGATACCCTGGCCGTCACCAGCTTTGTGGGGCCCGAACCCAGGGACATGCTGCTGTGCCCAGCCCGCTGCTGCGGGGGGGAGACCCAGAGGCCGCGATGCCCCCAGCCCGCGGGGGGGGCCTGGGGAGCTGGGGGCAGCGTGGCCCCAGACAGCGCTGGGAGAGCAGGTAAGTGGGGAGGGGTGCATGGCGGGAATGGGGGGACAGAGGTGGGCGGGAAGTAGGGGGGTTTGGAAGCAGAGGGCTGCAGGTTGGGGGAAGGGACTATGGGGGATGGGTTTCGGGGTGTTTAAGACTGGGGAGTCTGCAGGGCTGGAGGGGTCTGTGGAGCGGTGGGGGAGGGGCTGGGGGCACAGCTGAGGGGGGATGGCCTCCATGGGGAGGGAGTGAAGGGGGAGCAGGTGATCTGCGAGGGTGGAAGATGGGGTGGCTGAGAAGAGGAGGGATCATGATGAGGGGATGATGCAATATGGGGGGGCTACAGGGGGAGGGGCAGGGAGCTGGGGGGGGCTCACCGGGAGATGGATATAGGGGGCAGGGTGACTCCTGTGTGGGGTGGGGGACATGGGGAGGCTGCTTCCCCCCCATACTCCCAGCTATCCCCTCCCCCCCACTTCTGAGCCCCCCCCATCCGGGCTGGCACAAGAGACCCCATTGTGTTCTGCTCCCCACTGTGTCAGGCTCCGCCCCGCTCCCCAGGCGGCGGGGGCACCTGTGGCGGGGGGGGCTGCCTGTTCCACCCCATAAAGCTCTGGAATGTCTCCTCCCCCCCGCTCCCCACAGCGCCCCCTGCTGGGAGAGGCCTGGCACTCCCCCCCAGCCTCCAAAGGGTTAACCCCCCCCATGCCCACATGCCCCCCCTCAGTGTCCTTGACTTTCTCAGCCCAGCTTGTTTGTCCTGGGAAACTCCTCAGGGAGGAAGGCGGCCGAGCTGGGGGGCCCGTGGACACCCCGCCCCACACCTGTGCCCCCACCAGGAACCGGGGGCCTCCCCTCCCGCCACCCCACAGCCAGCCATGCTGCAAAGGGTCCAGTCCGTGCTGCGAAACGTCCAGGGTTTGAACCGACACCCCCTCCATGGCCCCCGGCTTCCTCCCCCTGGCTGTTCTCCTCCTATCCTGGGTTTGGGGGTGCGGTGGGGGGGCTGCATCCTGGGGGAGGGGGGGTTCTCCCCACATACAGGGGGATTCTGTAATTGAGTGGGTGGTTTTGGGGGGCAGATGGAAATGGGGGGGGCTGGAAGTCTCTCACCCCACACATGCCCCCCCAGCCTCCCTCCACACACCCCTGCCCCACAGACCACCACCCCCCACTCTGCCACCTCCATACTCACACTCACCTCGACTCCCCCTGCCCCACACGGCCCCCTGCTGCCAGGCCCCACACCCCACTCTATCCCCCTCTTCCCCCAACCCCCCCAGCCCCACCTCCAGCCCCCCCCCACAGACCCCTCTCCCCCACCCCGCACACAGCTCCTTCTGCCCCCCACAACCCCCCACAGCCCTCCATATCCCACACTTTGCCTCTTACCCCACAGCCCCCCCTTGCCCCCACAACCAACTCCACCCCCTCCTCCCACCCCTGTCTGTCCCCTGCCCAGCCGTCCCCCCCCCCCATGGGTAAATATTGACCCCCGATAAGAGCTTCAAGTTTGAAAGCTTGGGGGAGGGAGGGAAGAATTAGGGTGGGGCCCTATCTGGAGGAGGGGGAGGGTCGGTGTTATAGGGTTGGTGTTTATAGGGGGGTTTGGTTGGGAGGGAAGGGGGTGGTTGATGCTGGGTGGGGGGCTCTGGTCTCTAGAAGGGGTTCGGGTCTGGGTGGGGAGGTTGGGCCAGTGCAGGGGGGGTCTGGTCATGAGGGAGAAGGGGGGGCAGGGTCTGTGGGGAGGAGGTTCAGTTCATCGGTGGGGGGGTATTCACTGACCCTCTCCCCATCTCCCCCTCCCCCCCCGCCCAGCAGACAGGCTGGTGCCCGGGCCCAGCGGGGACCCCCCCAGTGGGAAGCGTTCGGAGGACGGGGGGCTCCTGGCCCGGTTCTCCCACCGTGAACTCGGGAGCCTCTTTCGCCAGGTGGGGGCCAAGGTCCGGCTGCGAATTCTGTCCACCCCCAGGGACGCAGGTGAGTGACCCCCCCCAGGTGGAGGAGAGAAGCAGGCAAAGGGTGGGGAAAGGGGAGGGTTGGGAGTGGGGGAGGGGAGAAGGACAGGGGTGCGAGGGAGGGGTCGGGGGGGGCAGGCCACTGCCCCCTCCCACACCCACTGACCCCCCCATCCTCTCCCCAGCTGCCTCCAGTGACCTGGACGCGGCCGACATCCAGGTGGAGGAAAGAGCTGGGAGGCCGGGGTGCCGGCTGCCCCAGCCACAGGTAGGGGGCAGGGAGAGGGGCTGGTATGGGGGGGGAGGGAAGGCCGGGGCGGGGGGGGCAAATGGCTATTGCAGGACATGGATATGTGGGGAGGGCTGGGGCCAGCAGAGGGGGGGACAGATAAAGGGGAAGGGGTGGGGCCGGGGGGGGCCAGCAGGGGGCAGATGGCAATTGGGGATGGGGAGGGGCAGGGCAGTGGGTTTGCTATCAGGGGCTGAGAGCCCTTGCGCCGGGGGTCCCAGCCAGGCACTCACCCCACCCCCACTCCCTAGTGTCTGTCGGTCCCCTGGGACCCCCCCAGCTACTCGGTGGAGCTGGTGCGTGGCCCCCTCGGCTTCGGGTTCAGCCTGCGGGGGGGCAGCGAATACAACATGGATATCTACGTGCTGGGGCTGCTGGAGGGGGGGCCGGCCCAGCAGAGCGGCAAGATACAGGTACCTGCCTGCACTGGGGGCCCATGGGGCAGGGGGCGCTCTCCCCTGGCAGGGGGGCCGGGCACGGGGGGGGCGCCGTGCTGCGGGGACTGGGGCGGGGGGCTGGGCAGGGGCGCTCTCCCCTGGCAGGGGGCCGGGCGCGGGGGCGCCGTGCTGGGGGACTGGGGCGGGGGGCTGGGCAGGGGCGCCTCCCTGGCAGGGGGCCGGGCGCGGGGTGGGGGCGCCGTGCTGGGGGACTGGGGCGGGGGGCTGGGCAGGGGGGTCCCCCTGGCAGGGGGCCGGGCGCGGGGGGGCGCCGTGCTGCGGGGACTGGGGCGGGGGGCTGGGCAGGGGGCGCTCTCCCCTGGCAGGGGGGCCGGGCGCGGGGGGGGCGCCGTGCTGCGGGGACTGGGGCGGGGGGCTGGGCAGGGGGCGCTCTCCCCTGGCAGGGGGGCCGGGCGCGGGGGGGGGGCGCCGTGCTGCAGGGACTGGGGCGGGGGGCTGGGCAGGGGGCGCTCTCCCCGGGCAGAGGGGCTGGGCGCGGGGGGGGGCGCTGCGCTGTGGGGGCTGGGGGGCACCATGCTGCGGGGGGCGCAGGGGCTCTCCCTGGTGGCAGCGGCCAGTACTGCAGTGTCAGTCTCTGGGGCAGGTCAGCGACCAGCTGGTGGAGATCAATGGGGAGCCCACGCTGGGCATGACGCACGCCCGGGCCGTGGAGCAGATCCGCCGGGGGGGCAGCCGCATCCGCCTGGTGCTCAGGAAAGGCGACGGATTCGTCCCTGACTACGGTGAGTCCTGGCCCCCCCCCCACCTCCCTCCTGCTACAGCCTGTCTCCCCCCAAAACTGAGGGCAGATGGTATTTCCCCACCAGCCCGCCTCCCGAGGGAGATGGTAGGACCACAATAATATCCTCCCCCTCCCCTATCCCATGGGAGATGGTATGATCTAAAGTGAGGTTCTTTCCCCCCCCTCCTCTAAATCCTAAGGAAGATGGTACCACCCATAGTGTGCCCCTCCCCAGTTCCTGGGACGATATGACCACCCCACCATTCCCCTCCCTCCCCACACAATCCACAGTGACCTCCCCTGACTCTCCCAGAGCAAATGGTACAACTCATGGTGACCCCCGCATCCCCTGGGGAGATTATATGACCCCATAGTGACCCCCAAACACACATCTCAGGGCAGATGGTATGACCCCCGGTGATACCCCCCTGCATCCCTGGAGAGATGATACAACTCCATAGTGACCCCATGCACACATCCCAGGGCAGATGGTGTGAACCACAGCAACACTTCCTTCCTGCATCCCTGAGGAGATGGTAAGACCCCATAATGACCCACACACACACACAACCTAGGGGAGATGGAATATGACCCCCAGTTATACCCCCCCTGCATCCCAGGGGAGATGGTATGACGCTCAGTGACTCCTCACCCCCACCCCCGCATCCCAGTGGAGATGGTACACCCCTCAGTGACAACCCCTGCATCCCTGGAGAGATGGTATGACCTTCAGTGACCCCCTCTGCATCCCTGGGGAGATGGTGCAACCCCATGACACCCTCCCATCCGAGGGCAGATGGTTCGACCCATAGCTGGGCAGGTAGCAGGTTGCCCAGTGCATGGGGGGCAGTGGGGTCTGGGGGGGACAGTGTATAATAGCCAGGAGCTGGTTTACCCCTCTGCCCCTCCCCTATGGGGGGCATCTCTAAATGGGGAGCAGATTTTCGGGGTTCAATACTCATCCTATTTTTCTCCCCTTTCTGCCCCTTCTCTGACTCTGACCCTCCACATCCCCCCATTCTCCTTTTGTCCCTCCCTGGGCCCCCACCCCTCCCACCATGTCCTCTCTGCCCCCCCTCCCCGGCCACCCCACACCTGTCTGCCCCACCTGCCCATGCCCCCTGCTGCTCCCACTATTCACGGCACCCCCCATGTCCCGTTCTGCCCCCCCATCCCTGCTGTCCCCTCCACACCCATCTGTCCCCTTTCCTGGGTCCCCCCCATCTGTACTGCCCCCCCCCAGTGTCCGTGTGCGCCCCCCCCACAGCAACACCGCTCTGCAGCCTGGCGCTGTGCGTCACCAACTCCCGGCGGGGGGAGCCCTGCTTCTGCCTCGTGGGACGGCTGGAGCGTGACTGGTGGGTTGCCCCCCCCCCTCGGTCACAGCATGCTCCCACCACAGCCCGGCCAGCACAATGGGCCAATCCAGGTCCGCCCTGGACAGAGCAATAGGCCAATCCACCTCCCCCCACCCAATCCCACTCACAGCAATGGGTAAATCCTTTCCCCCCCAGGCCAGAGCAATGGGCCAATCCAGCCCCTGCATTCCAGGCACATCAATGGGCCAATGCAGTTGCCCCCCCAGATCAGAGCAATGGGCCAATCCTGTCCCCCCTCCCCACACTACCAGGCCCCCTTTATCTGTTTGCTTGGCCAATCCTGAGAAGACACCCCCCCCCCCCCCCCTGGGAATGTGGAGTTCGGTGCTGTTTCCCGGGGGGCGGGGTGTCTCTCCAGTGCCAGAGAGATAGATACTCCCCGCACCCCATAGATAGGGATATATGAGTAACCCCCCTCTCTGTTCTAGGCCCCTTGCCCTGACCCTGCTGTACCCACAGACTACCCCCACCCTCCCATCACTGACCCTGTTGTACCCCCCCAGAAACCCCCAACTACCAACCGCCCCCCCCAAAGCTTCACTAAACATTCGCTGTTTAGCCAAACCATCTGAACTGATGTTGGCGAGGACATGCGGGTGGGTGGGGGACAGCCCCCAAAAAAACAGGGGGTTGATCCCAGGGAGCAGGACCCCTAAGGAAGCAATCCCAGGGTAACTGTGGGGAAGATGGGGGGTCTTTCACTACGTTCTCTGGGCCTGATCCCCCCCCATCTCATTCTGTCTCCCCTCTCCAGACCATGAGCACATCCCCAGCCCCGCCGGGCGGGACCAGATGCCAGAGGGTGGACCGGCACCACACGGCTGGAGAGCAGACACGGCCGAGAGGTCTCTGCGCTGGGGTCAGGACGCCGGGGGCTGCCTGGAGGCTTCTCCCAGCAGTGGCGAGCGAGGATCCCACCTCTGCCACCAACGTGGGTCCCGGGACCATCGGGGCACAGAGCAGGGCTGGCTGGCATCGGGGAAGGAGGCAGAGGCCAGGAAGGGAGACAGCGGGTCCCTCTCCCCCCGGAAGGAGCGGGTCTGGAGGGGCCTCTCAGAACCAGCCCCTGGGCCCTGGCTGGTGCCCAGCAAGGAGCGCCTCTCACGGGCCCTGAGGGGTGTCTGCATGGGGGACGGGGAGGACGACAAAGGGGGCAGCCTGGGGTGGAGCAAAGATGGGGAGGGGAGGAGGAGGACTTAGTCCAGCCCTGCCCAGCCCCAGATGTTCTCAGTGCCTGGGACAGTCCACCCACCTCTCATCTGGATGTGCAATGGTACCTTCCATTCTCCTCTCACCTTTTCAACCATGGTATCCTCCACTCTTGTTCCCCTCCCCATTTTGACTAATGGTACTGTCTAATCTACTCACAGTGGTACCTGCCATTCCCCCCCATCAGCAATGCAGTGGTATCATCCTCTCCTGTCCCCCATGCTGTGAAATGGTACCTTCCATTCGTCTTATGGTACTTTCCTATCTCCCCTGCCCCAGTCATAGTCTGCACTGATACCTTCTACTCTTCTGTGCTATGGTACTGTCCACTGGTGCCCTCTGTACTTGGCAATGGTATCGTCCATTGGTAATTTTGCACCCCCTATGGCAGGATTGCAATGGTACTGTCCACTCTCTCTTACTAACAAAAAGAACAGGAGGACTTGTGGCACCTTAGAGACGAACCAATTTATTTGAGCGTGAGCTTTCGTGAGCTACAGCTCACTGCATCGGATGTTTACCGTGGAAACTGCAGCAGACTTTAAATGAGCTGTGGCTCACGAAAGCTCACGCTCAAATAAATTGGTTCGTCTCTAAGGTGCCACAAGTCCTCCTGTTCTTTTTGCAATCCATTACAGGCTCACAGGTGGACTGATCCATTCTGTGTGGCAGGGAGGGGGAAGAAGATGGACACAATCCCCAGAGCCACTCACAGATGACCTATTCCATGGAGGAATGGATCAAACCATTCCATCAAGGTGGGGGGCAGATGGGAAAGGATTGGTTCTGCTCCAGAAGGGGTCCTTCCCCAGGGGATGGGAGGTGTTGGGGGGGGGGGGGTGTCACAGTCTCGCATTAAGATGCTGCAGTTGCCTTGGTTTCTGTCTCCATGGGGACAGTGTTTATTTAAAGTGAACAGAAACTCTCTTGCTTACTGGCAACGAATAAAAAAGGAAAAAACCCAGAGAGGTTTGTGGTTGTCGCCTGAGTCATTTCAGTACCACAAAGAGCATCTGGGACAGGCCCGCCCCTCCACAGAGGGGACCCAGGTGTCCTGGCTCACAGCCCCCCTCTGCTCTAACCACTAGCCCCCACTCCCCTCCCTGGGGAGAACCCAGGAGTCCTGGTCCCCAGCCCCCACTCCCCTCCTAGAGCTGGGAGGAGAACCCAGGAGTCCTGGCTGGCTCCCCCCACCCCATAATCCACCAGAACTTGCTCCCCTCCCAGCCCTGAAGAGAGATTCCCTCTGCTAGCTTCAGAATCCCACAGCCTCGCTCGACTGGACAGGGGCCTGCTCCTGGGAGCCGGACGCCAGGCCTGTGCTGACCATTCGCCCCCACAGCTGCAATTGCCCCTCTGGGAGCTCTTCAGCTTAGGAGCATCGCTGCCTCCCGCTGAGCTCCGGGAGCCTCCTGAGGAGGAGGTGCTCCTTAGCCAGTTAGCTGCCGGCCACCTAGGTGGTTAATTACCTACAGGTGAGTCCAGCTGGATTCACTCTGGTGCAGCATTGGGATGGACTCCTGGTCGTGGAGCACCTCCTAGTGGCCAGATCAAGCATAGCAGCCCCATAACCACTGGCGGGCCATGCAAGAGTTCCAGCCCAGCGGGACAAACCCTCTGCTACCTTCCCTGGGCTCAGGCCACTTTTGCCCTGCCTCAGGTGTTTCCTTGAGCCCAGCTGCCTGCTCCTTTCCACTCCAGGTCCCACTGTGGGTCTTTCCAGGGAGTAGAAACTCTTGGTTGGCTAGTTGCCTCCTCCTACTCTGCCTTGAAGGTCAACATCAACTCTCCCCCTGCACCCTGCAGCTCTTTATAGAGCACCCATGACCCGGCCCCAGCTGGAGCTTATCACTGAGCAGGCCTCCGGCCTTTAAAGGGGGCAGGACCATTGCAGCCTCTTGGGGGGGGAGATGTTGGTAGCAAATGGTGGGGTAGGAGGAGAGGAAGAGTGTTGTATGCAGGGGAGAGTGCCGGCAGCCACGGACTTGGGGGCCCGACGTCAGCACCAGAGATCAAAACTTGTGTCACGTTGTGGGTCTGGAGCAAGGGTCGGAATCCAAGTCCCAGTCAAGGCTGGGAGTTCAGGAGCAGAGTTGGCCATGGTAGCCACATTGTTGTCCTGACACTTTCTTGGAGGGACCTCCTGTGGGCCGGTAGGGGGATCAATGCCAATTGGGAGCCTCCCAGGGGGCTACCAGTTGGGTCTCTGGGGCAGGGCTTTCTGTAGTGGGTCATGGGGGGGAGGAGGGATCCCCATGCTGCCAAGGGGTGGGTGGTGACACAGCCCCTCTGAGGCCCACTGGGTGGAACGTGGCGGTGGGCCGTGCAAATGGTGGGTGGGGGAAAAACTTGGGGGCAGTCACTGGTGGGCCATGGCCCTCAGGGGCGGAGCGGGGCAGGTGCTGGTGGGGGCCTCCGGGTGAGGCGTGGGAGAGGCTGGCGAGGAAGGGGGCTGATGGGTGACTCTTCTCTGCTGGCTCTACCCTTGAGAAGTCCTTCCCCCCCCCCGCCCGCCTCCCAAGAGCCTCCCTCCTGGTCACCGTCATCCTTGTGTTAGTGGGAGGCCCAGACGCTGCTGATATTGCTGGAGGAGGAAGAGAACTGATCAGGGAGGGGAGTGGGGTCTAGTGGTTAAAGCCGGGGTGGGGGCTGGGAGCCAGGACTCCTGCGTTCTCTCCATGGCTCTGGGAGGGGAGTGGGGTCAAGACCTCCCCTGGGGGGAGCCAGGGAGCAGTGTGGGGGGAGGCAGTTCAGACACATGGTACCAGTGATGCCCCCTATATGCTCTCAGCCCCCTCCAGGTCTGCAGGCTGCCCTTGATTCCACCAGCCCCGCTCGTGTGGGCTCCCCCCCGGCCGGTAGATGGGGTGAGGGGGAGTGGGGTAGGCATGGGAGGGGGGTGACTCCGGATTAAGCCTTGGAGCTGAGCCCGGATTCAGGCCCCAATCCCCTCGCAGGCTGGGGGGACTCCGGCTTTGCCACCCCAGGTGCCAGCTGCTGTTTGTTCCCCCGTCTGGCATGGCTCTGCCCAGCCTGGCCACTTCCTGCCAGGCTCTGCGAACACCAGGTGACTCAGCCACTGGCATGACGCCCACGTGGGTCCTGCCCTGCAGGGTGCAGCCACTCCTGGGTTGGGGGGGCAGGTGTCTGGGAACACCTGGATGGATAGAGGAGGGTGTGGGGAGATGGGGGGGGGTGGCTACACGGGTGTGGGGGGATGGGTGGATAGAGGGGTGGCAGGATAGAGGGAAGCAGGGATGTGGGGGGGAAAGAGGGATGCAGGGGGATGGGTGGAGAGATGGAGGGATGTGGGGGGTTAGGTGGATAGAGGGGAGGTGGAATAGAGGGTGTCACGGAGTCCCTGGGCGATGCTCTGGAACTGCTCCCCATGAAGTCAGTCAGGACTCTGGGGTAGTCGCCTTCCTGTGAGCAGCCTGTCTTCAGGACACACAGCTCACCCGGCTTCCACCTTCCTGGGTCTGACCTCGGAGCATTCAGCATCCTCTGCCCCTCCGTGCGCTTCCCACAGCGAGTCCGCTCAGGCGGTGCTCCTGGGGAAGCCAGAGGGTCTGCACCCCAACTTCGCAGTCAGACGTGACTCTCAGCCAGCCAGTAAAACAGGGGTTTATTAGACGACAGGAACATGGTCTAACACAGAGCTTGCAGGTGCAGAGAACGGGACCCCTCAGCTGGGTCCATTCTGGGGGGGTAGTGAGCCAGACAACCACGTCTGCACTTCACTCCATGTCCCAGCCAGCCCCAAACTGAAAACCCCTCCAGCCCCTCCTCCTCTGGGCTTTGTTCCTTTCCCGGGCCAGGTGGTCACCTGATTCCTTTGTTCTCCAACCCTTTAGCTCTCACCTTGCAGGGGGGAAGGGCCCAGGCCATCAGTTGCCAGGAAACAGGGTGTCGGCCATTCTCTGTGTCCAGACTCCTGCACACACCTGCCCTCTAGGGCTTTGCAATGATCATACACCCTTACTCCACCCCCTAGATACTTAAGAACTGCCTAGGGGAAACTGAGGCACCCCCACACTATTCAGAGGAAACATTAAGAACAGTCCCACTTCGTCACAGAGGGAAGCAGGGATGTGGGGGGAAAGGGATGCAGGGGGATGGGTGGGGGGATGGAGGGATGTGGGGGGTTGGGTGGATAGAGGGGATGTGGGGGGAAAGAGGGATGCAGGGGGATGGGTGGGGGATGGAGGGATTTGGGGGTGGGTGGATAGAGGGGTGGTGGGATAGAGGGGCGGAGGGAAGCAGGGATGTGGGGGGATGGGGGATAGAGGGGTGTGGGGAGAAGGAGGGGGGATGGGTGGATAGAGAGGTTGCAGGATAGAGGGAAGCAGGGATGCAGGGGGAAAGGGATTCAGGGGGATGGAGGGATGTGGGGGGATGGATAGATAGAGGGGCGAAGGGAAGCAGGGATGCGGGGGCGTGGAGGGATGCGGGGGGATGGGTGGATAGAGGAGTGGAGGGATGTGGGGAGATGGGGGGGATAAAGGGGTGTGGGGGAATGAGGGGGGATGGGTGGAAAGAGGGATGTGGGGGGATGGGGGGATAGAGGGGTGTGGCGGGAAGGAGGGGGGATGGGGGGATAGAGGGGTGGCGGGATAGAGGGAGGCAGGGATGTGGGGGGAAAGAGGGATGCAGGGGATGGGTGGGGGGATGGAGGGATGTGGGGGGATGGATGGATAGAGGGGTGGAGGGAAGCAGGGATGTGGGGGGATAGAGGGGTGGAGGGAAGCAGGGGGGATAGGGACACAGGTGGGGGGGTGACTAGATCCCTTCTGAGCCATTTGTAACGCACAGAGCGGGGGGAGGAGTGGAGATAAATCTCTGCATTAAGCATCTTCCCGTAACTTCCATGACTTTGTGTTAGGTCTCTATTGTCACACAACTTTGTATCAGATCCTTATGTAGAAAACGTTGAATTGAGCCCTGGTCTAATGTCTTTTCGCTGGGAGCAGAATAAGATCCCCCCCCGCCCCGTTAATCAACGGCCCTGTTGAGTGACCGAGGCTGGAAGGCAGCGCCTCCGGCCCTGGGAGCGGGACCCCGGGCAATGAGCCGTGCCAAGTGGGCTCACTGAAGAAGAGCGGACACACGGGCGGCCTTGGGGGCGAGGAGCCGGCCCCTTCTCTGGGGACACCCTCTTTGCAGCATCGGGACGACCCCCAGAAGGAGGCGCCACAGGGGGCCAAGGGACCCAGACTTTGACTCTGGGACGGATTCGCAGGAGAGGGACGCGGCGAGAAACGTGGGGTGTCTTGCAGGGGACCCCCCCCCGTCCCGACTCCTGCTCGGCAGCCGCCCAGCTCCAGCCCTCCCGCGTCTCACGCCCCTGGCCAGGGACGGTAAGGGGGGGGCAACAAGTTGGTAACAACAAGACGGAGTGTGTGTGTGTGTGTGTGTGATGGCGACCGTCCGCATACGTTCAGCGTCGGCTGATTCAGGTATTACCAATAAACGCGGCGGGGCGCCTTATCCCCCTGAACAGATCCCGTGCGGTACTTTAAGTAGAACAGGGACCAGCCGCGTCCCTCCCTCCTGTCCGGCTTCCTCTGTTCTGCACCTCTTGCGCCCCATAACCAGCCGGGCTTCTCCCCTGAGCCCTCCACAGCCCCTAGGCCAGACTCCGGTGCCCTCCCTCCTTGCCCTCCGGCGCCACCTTAACCAGGCTGCGGCACCCCCAGCGCCACCTTAACCAGGCTCCGGTGCCCGCCCTGGTTTCCTGAGCCGCTCTCCGTCCAATGCCTTTCTAAAGTGACGGGCTCTCTCCAGCTCCTCTTAAAGGGCCAGCCCCCCCAGCCGAGCCACGCCCGGCCCTACGCCCTGCCCCGTCGGCTGCCAGCTTTGACAGTCGCTTGACAGCCGGAGCCGTCTGGGGGTTCTCCGGGGCCATGGACTCCTCTGGCGGCACCCCGGGGTGCATGGGGCAATGCACCAGCTTCCTCCGCTCCCAC